CATTATAAGTACATCAATGACTCCTTTTTTAATATCAGACGTTGAATCAGTGTTTCCAATGCAAATCGAAAATAAACTGTACCGTACACGCTGTTTTCAATAAGCAAAATGTATGTTAACACTTTGTTGTGATCAGCAAAGTGTATCAAAGTGTACGAAAACCAAATTTTCACAATCTAAAAAAGAAAGAATAATGTTCGTTTTTTTCTTTATTGACATATACATATTCATCACTAACGAACAAATTATCTATAGATGTTCAATTTCATTATAATTATAACAAGTTCAGGAAAAAAAGAGAAAACAAACAAACACAAGTTTATATATTGCACCTAAAATAATCAATATTTACTATTCTTGTCAATTATAATATCATCAAGATAGTCAATTTCCACAAGTTTCATCTTCATCATCATGCATATCTGCATGATCGCAACAAAACCATAATGAATCAATATCTATACTTAATTTAATTCTGCAACTATTGCAGAGCCAACGCGAACAATTGTCTGTTTGTTCAATCCAATCAAATTGTTCGCTTTGATGGCAACATTGAATAGCATCACTCTGCTTTAGATCAGTTCCCGATACTTCAGTTTTACAACCATTAGCGCCTAAGAAATAAATTTATCATCTAAGCAAATGGAGATTCATGACTTACATTTTATTGATTTAGCTTTTGGTTTTTTTGGTTTTTTGTGCATCATTTCGAGATCAAACAACGACAAATTTCTCTTAACAACTGATCGTACTTGTTTTTGTGGTTCATAATCATTAGATGCATCAATTAAAAGTTGAACTTGATAAAGACGACGATTGTGATCTCGATCATTCCATGATTCAAATGCTTTACAAACTACTTGTTGACATCTAGAACTAAAGAGAAATAGTCAAATGTTATATTCATATAAAGCTAAATCGATTTCTCTACCTTACCTTCGTAAATCATCTTTAAGCAGCATTCGAACAGTCATCAATGAATCTAATGTTGACACCATCAAACGAGACCTTCCTATGGTTTGTATACGATTTATAGCAGAAAACTAAAAAATATAAATTACTATAATAATATTTACAGTTGTAAAAAAAAAGATAATCAACATACACCTCTTTCACATTCAGTTGAATTTGTTGGTGAAATCAAATACACGTTGAGTAAAAGCAAGATGTTTTTAAACTCATAGTAAAAACCATTATTCATCAACTGTTTTTGTAAAATATAGCTTTTCCAGAAGTCTTTCACTGAATAATCAGTTGGAAGACTATTTACATAATCATATAATGAAGCTTTGAGAGACTCCCATTCGTTTCGAACAGAGTTAAAATCGAAATCGACAAAGTTTTTATATTTTTTACGAAGAAAATCTAGTGCAGATCGACCGTATTCATTTGAATTTATATCTTTCTTATGTTGAAACAAATACTGTGGATCAAAGAGTATGGATAAATTTTCTTGAATAAGTGATGGTTGAAATCGTCGAGCTAATTCTTCAAGCAATCGGTTGATATGTTCACGGCAACTATTGAAAATTTTTTTACGATCTCCCAGATTTACCTTAAATGCACCAAATGATCCATTTTTTGTCGATTCAAGATAATCAGATAATGCAGGACCTGTAGCTGATGTTGATTGAAATGTCCAACCACGTAGAATGTTTTTTTTCTCTTTTATCATCTCCATCAGATTAAAATAAGAAAGTTGATCGTTTTGCATGAGTTTTGTAATTGGTCCTGATTTTAAAAAAATCAAAATTGAAAAAATGATAATACGCAGTATACGTAAATGTAAGTAAACTCACCAAGTATAGATTCATGAAGATCATAATGCATATGTATTAACAAAAGAATTTCATCGTCCAATATCAAGTTAAACAAGTTTTTTGAATGTTCACGCTCAAGAGCTGATAAAGTAAAATCATACATAGCTTCTTGTAAATATCCAATTAATGCTTGTGATCCTAAATAAAAAATCATTTTTCAAAACATTGCTTTGACAATTATTTGACATGCGAAAACCTGGTTGAATATTAACAATTATTGGTTTAATACAATCACGTATTGAAGACCACCGGATATCAAAAATTCTTTTAAATTTGAGTTCAGGAATTTCTAAAAAATTTTGCCATAATTTTAACTTGAACTGACGACCGGGACTGGTATTAAAATAATTATAGATTTTACTAATTGTTTCTTCAAGTTTTACGACTGATTCAGCTAAAACAGGTTGTTTATTACCTATATTAAATAGAAAATTAAATAAAACTACTTTTAATGCAAAAATTAATAAATACTTTCAGTTTTCAACTCATATGAGGCATGTGAACCAACAAGTGCGAAAGAATGAGCAACACATCTGTTTAATTCCAAACAATCAGTACCTATACGATGACGTAGTTTAGCAATAACACCTTCATGTACACCTAAAATAGTTTCAATAATATTTTCAAAGATTATTTGACAAAAACAATAAAATATTCACCACAAAACGTTGATGCATTATCTGTTGATAACCAGCACGAATTTTTCCCGTCCAAGCCATCCTTTTCCCATAACCTAAATAAGCTATTTGCAATATTTTGAGCTGTACCATCACCTTGCAAATTCAAAAGACCATAGTACGACGTTTTGGCTTCATTATTTTCTACATATCGCACGTATACAATGCACGTTTTTTCAGTAGATCTTGAAGTACTCTCATCCAACATCCATCCTACAAGAAAAATAACATTTGAAGAAGATAAATGTTTAACATTAGCATACCAACAACCGGACTTGTTTTTAGTTTTTCAACTAACTCTTTGTGTAAATAATCAGCTACATGTTCAATAAAGCACAAGGCAGCTTTATTGTTCCTATAAGAAACTCCTGATATTTCAGCTGATAGCAATACCACTCCCAACTGTTCAAGTAGAATACATAAAGGTTCAAGCGTGTTAATAGAGTTGTCTTGTTGGCAAATAAATATACATGCCATCATCAAATTTTGAATAGATTGTTCATGTTTATTCAGTTGCTGTTTCTGCGTTGTCATCCAATTAGGTTGTGCATGAGAAGATAAGTTTAACTCCATTTGTTCTGACTGTTTATGAACTTCACTTTTTAATTTGTGATGTCTTATTTTATCCAAGGAAAATGTAGTCATTCCTCTTGTGACCCACACATTTTCTTTACCTATGAACAGTAATCGTTTTTATAATTAAAAGAGTTTTATTATGTGAGAAGAACTAAAATCTCATATAGTAAATATCAAATTATATGTGAGACAAGCTTTTATAATATTCAAGCTCACCATTAGTATTTCGAATTTTACCATACTTCTCACAAAGGCGACATCCCATTGAATTTTCCTTCATGTACAACCAACACATAGATCTTTCATGAAGTGTACCGAATTCATCGAAAACATGAGTTTTGTATTGAGCTTCAGGTCTCTTCTCCCATTCAGTCAAATATTGAGTTCGATGTTTGGATTGAGTAGGTGTTGAATTTTCATTTTTACGATTCTTATTGTTGCTCTATACATTATGAATATAATTAGATAAAGAATTTCGTTGCTCATTATTAACACTTTTATGAGCAACTTTTATTTCATCAGCAAAATTTCCTACTTTAACATGTGATAATGACGGAGATGGAACTGAAGATAATGATACAACTTCACCTGTAGCCATAGATATACATGAGTTATATAAATTTGTATTAACAATATTAACTTTACCAGGAGACTTTTCTACTTGAACATGTGATGATGATGAAGATCGAATTGAAGACAATGATACAATTTCACCTGTAGCCATAGATATACATGAGTTATATAAATTTGTATTAACAGTATTAACTGTGCCAGGAGAATTTTCTACTTGAACATGTGATGATGATGAAGATCGAATTGAAGATAATGACCTATTTTCATTAGCAGATGCAGGTATAGATATACATAAATTACATAAATTTTCATTAATAGCTTTGGCTTCATCAGTAAAACCCGAATAACATAAATTTTTATTAACAACCTGAACTTCATCAGTAATAGATGAATTGCATAAATTTGTATTAGCAATATTAACTTCACCAGGACTAGGAGAATTTTCTACTTGAACCTGTGATGATGATGATGATGATGATGAAGATCGAACTGAAGATAATAATTCATTTTCACTAGCAACTATGGAAGATATATGAGCTAATAAAAGTTCATGCTTACTCCAAATTTCATCTAATTTCAACTGATATTTATTCATAAATTATAGATCTAAAATAATATTCAAAAAAAACATATGAATAACATAACAGTATGGATATAATAAAAAAAGAGAGTTGAACTAGCAGTAGAATCACTCTTTTCTCATGTAAACAAAACAAATATCGAGAACGAATGGAACTTACATTTAGCCAATCATACAATTGAATGTAAGAGGTCACAATTTATCATCATGTATAGATAATTGTTAATTTAATAGTATGTGCTTTACAGCTTTTAAGGCTCATGAATCAAAGTGTGAATCTTTTTTGCAAAGTGTACACTGTACACTTTGTTTTTCTGAGCAAGTGTACAGCAGAGTGTACATAAAAAATGGCAGATGTTTGATACATTTTACTTCTGCTTGGTACACCTGCCATTGGAAACGTTGGCTTCAAGTACAACTAGATGTGCTCTTTTTAACCATGCCATCTGTTTTAGTTTCTGAGTTAACAGGAGGCCATAATCAAGAGTTTTCTGAGGAATCCATCGCAAAACAAAACAACTTACTAGATTTTTGAAGCGAAATTCTTTTGAAATTCGCTTCTTATGGCTTGACTTTGCCTCTAATAATGCTAATTTGAGAAGTTACGTATAGTTCCGAAGTTTTAATTAGATAGGGAACATGAAAGAATCATCTTCTGGCCGAATAAGGCTAGAAAATGACGAAAGCACACAAACTGTATGAAATCTGCAAATTTTAATATGATAAAGCTCCAAATACAATGAGAAAGACGGGTTGCAGTTAGTAGTGCGATAAGATATCAAAGTTGAAGATTGAATACATTTTAAATGAAGAGATAGTGTGTTTTTCGCTAGGGGGTCTATAATTATGCTACAGTGATTTTCCGG